TTTATGGGGCACAGCCTTATAGGACTGGGTTGAGGCAATGTGGGATTTGTTTTGTTTTTGTTTAACATTATTTTGTGTTATTAATTTGTGCTTCTACTAATTTGGTTTGTAGTTGTTTTTGGTTAAGTCTCAGATTGTTTCTAGTCTTGTCCTGGGTTCCTGTGCTTTATTGGGTTTTAAATTAGAATGTCAATTTTTAATATTGTCAAAGAATGTATAAATAAAATATATTTTGTATACTATTTCTGTTTCATCATTCTAAGCCAGACCTACCTGGGTATTGTTAATTGGGAAACTCTAGGCCACTTGATACTATTTTAGTGGTCTACCAGTTGGCTTTAGGGCCACATCCTCAGTCACAATCTGGGTTCTTTCCCTCGTGTTACATCTAGACTTTTTGAAATATTTAAAGCTTTTGCTCTGCTCAACTGTGCAAGAAATGTCTGCAAAGAATGGAGGTTAGTGGGGAAACGCATGCAGCTGTAATTGCAGTGAAAAGTGATTGTGCAGAGTAATAATTCAGAAACCTGACTACAAATGTGCACACAGATTTCTACATATTTTGTAAAAAAATATATATATATGTAGCCGGGTGGTAAATTTTGGTTAAATAATTGCACTGTTTCAAAGTGTTGGTTTTCTTTTATTGTTACAGTAGCAATGCTATTAAGTGATTTTGTTTCAGTTATGTAATTTTATTTCCTATGTGTATGTTTTTCACATTTAAACATGTTCAGGTAGTTGGTCTCAGGTGCTGCACATTTTGTCCACTAGAGAGCAGTGTTTCAAAGTGATTACTGTTTCCCAAAACGGGGCAGGAAATGCATTTTGTTCTCTTCCGGTGTTGCTATGCTACGTGATGAACTTGGACGGGAACCGTATGTGATTTATCTGCAGGTCATAGTTTCAGCAGAAAATCGATGGTTCAGGGAGCCTGTCTGTGCGGTGCAGGGCGGCCATTTACTGCACGTGAAAATAAGATGTCCGATCATCGGTGTTCTCCAGTATTAAGAGTGAACTGAGACATTACTGTCGAATGTAAGTGTTGATAAAATAAGTCATATCACAACTCCATGCGCTCTAAATCAGTGTGGTGTAATGCAGCTCTCTGTATTTTGTTTGTGCAGCCAGAGGCCACTGCCGTATTTCTATTTCTTTTCTTTGACATATTGTATGTTCTTTTGAGATCTGCCACATTTCATGAATATTTACCAAATGTTTAGGTACATCTATGTTCTGATTTTTGAACAACAGTAAGGAACAAGACAGCTTTGTTCAGTCTGTTCCCACTGATTAAATATACTGCACACTAAGAACCCCAGTTATTGTGTCCTGTGAGGTTAAGTATTTCCCGGGCTACATATAGATGAATAAAAAATCTTGTACATTTGAGTATGTGGTTATAGCAATACTTCTAGAAGGTACTGTTAATGTGCTAAGAGGGAGAAGGTTGTTTCAAACTCAAAAAAAAAAAAAAAAAAAGATAAGGAACTCCTCCCTAACACCAGCAGTTTCCTCCACTGTGGGTCAGACTGAAGCACAACTGAAGGGGAGCTAATTGACTCTGCTGAGTAATGAGACTCATCGTTCACAGTAATAAAAAAGAATCGTCTCCGTCTCAGGAATGACAAATCTCCGCTCCGTTTTAACCGCTGCCGGTTTATGGACGCCGCCTGCTTGTCACGCATGGAGGCGTCAAATCACACTGCGCTGCACTTTGTCAGCCTTCTGTAACGGCGACACCAGCTGTGAGGATGATGCACCGTCCTTTTGTGTCATCACAAGTTGACTTCAAGGACTTTCTGCGCTGGGGGGGTGGCTAAGCGTTTAGTCATTATTGACGCAGGCCGGCCCTGAAGCTTGCGGACAGGGATGAATGAGAGGGACGTTCGCGTTTTGTCGGAAGGCTGCTCGGCATTTGAAGCGCTGATGGAAGAGACAGGCTGCCATCTCTAATGTTTCACCAGGTATCAATCGGTAATCATCTTGTTTCAGATAACTCGGACACAATTCCTTTAAAGGTTTCTTCTTTTTGTGGCTTTTCTTTCAATAGCTTTTCCGAGTTGGCGTTTAGCATCTCCAAAACTCTGAAAAAAAAAAAAAAAAAAGCCAGTTTTATGAAGAGACCCACACTAAATGCTTTAAAACAAGCTAACCATGGCGCAATTCATTGCAGGAGGAAACTTCATGTGACTGCATCGTACTCCCAGATATAGCAGATGAATATTGTAGTGTTTGTGCTAATGGTATTTCACATGCAAGCCAAGACCCTGTGAGGTGAAATGTGTTGCTGTCTGTGTGGGCAGCAACTGTGTTTTCCTGGGTAAACCTTTCTCTTGTTGTCATTGATCTCTGCCGCTGGTGTGGACGTGTGAACTTCATCTGCATCCAGCATTCGGCTGGTTTTCCTTTCACAATGTTCAGATCTGTTTTCGTAAAGAAAAAGGGTGTGATGAGCTTTGTGATTCCTGTATCCTGGTACATGTGGATCTCTTCCTCCAGATCGTTTCGAGCCGTCTGTCGTGTCTCAGCCTCCTGAAGATAAATGATGCAGGCGATGACTCACACAGCCAGGCTTCCCTCATCTGCCTTTCCTCTCAGTTTAACCTCTCAGGAGGAGTTTCTTCATCGACCCGTCCTGCTGCCTGTCGCTGCAGTGAACAGAAACCAAACGAGGACCTGTAATACACCCACCAGTCTGTCTCTTCCAGGTTATATATAAATAGTCTGTTTCCTCTCAGGTCTGACCTGCTAAGTTAAATTTTCTTCTTAAGGACTCATAACATCAAAGGACTGCCTATTTGTTGATCTGCTTACCGACTTAAGGAATGTGACGTTTCAGTTTCAATGCAATCGATAACAAATAACATTTTTTCCAGTATTTGACATTATCGTATCGTGATGGACTTTCCTGTTCTGAGAGCTACTTTATGCAAATATTCTTTTTGAAGGCAGCATCTTGCTTGCATCTTTGGGTCGTACACAACTGCCATGCAGTTTTGTATCATACTTAACTAGATTAGTGCTGTAAAAAGTTTTCCCCAAACAGTCAGAACCAGGTCCGATCACCCAAATGTGGCTTTTACATTTGGAGGTTTTGCTTTTTATTTATTTTATTTATTTTGGTGCGAAGTTAACAGCGGAAGACTTTGTTCTGATTTCCCTTCACATCCGTGTTGCGTTCAGAGACCCTCAGCAACTCTCTTTCAGTGTGTTTATCTCCAATCCAAAGTGAGGAGCTTCTGCCCTTCATGAACGTCGGTACCAGGAGGAACTGATGCCACCTTTTAGAGCTCCAGCCAGAACCAGATTTGGAGCTGGCGCCGTTTATCTTACCAGTAAAGATTGAGGCTGAGGTTGAGAACAGAACCAACTCATCAGAGTACGGCTGTAAGCGGCATGATGGAGGAGCATCGTTGCGATGACATGCTGAAAGAGCAGGAGCTTCTTAAAGCGACAGGTCAATTTCAAGGTATTGAATTGCAAAGTAAACTTTAAGTCATGTTTTATAGCATTTTTACAACAACTGAAGGTAACATAGTTACTTGATTGTGCTATAAATGGCACCATGAGCCTGGAAAACTTATAATACTTCCCTTTAAATGTTCAATTCCTCCTCTGGCCTTTTTATGTGATACAGTAAATATAACAGATTATCTTGCATGTCAATTTTCTGATCAAAAATACCTTCTATTCAACTGCGCAAGAAATGTCTGCAAAGAAGGGAGGGTAACTTTGCTGTCTTTCTTTTATACTTGCTTAAATCCTCAGAAAAAATAAGTTGAGTGTGACTAAACAGTAAACAGAGTCCTTGATTACTGTGATGGTGAGCTCCTGGTGGCTCTCAGAATCATTAAATGAGGCGTCATTTTTCATATTCCTTCTAAATAAATATCAACAATAATGCATAATCCTCTTGTGTTTCTGTACTTATGATCAAAAATCAGATTTTCATAGATAACAAGACCAATTGAACTGTGTAATCCTTCTCTCCGTTACGTCCTTATGTACAGTCGTACTGCGGACAAATGGCTCTCCTGTATGAAACACTTGTTGTGGGACAGACTTGTAGCTGAGAGCAGCAGCATATGTTCCCTAATAACCAAGCAGGTGCTCTTCCACAGCAAGCGGTGATGCAGGCTCGTTTTGTTGCTCTCTCGCTGTGCCTGATATATTTTTTTCCCGTGCCTCCTCCCGTCGGCTCCGGCTTTGTGCTGAATCGTGGAACAGCGGCGGTTCTCATGTCTCACCTTTGTCGCATCACGGTGCGTTCGAAGCAAACCGTCGCTTGTGTTTGCAGACAGATGAGAGATTAGATGCTCTGCCCATGCCCGGCCCGAGAGGGCCCGAGGATGACAGATTTAATCCCAGATGACATTTTGAAGACAGTGGAGTTGATGGAGTTGAACTGGCGAAAGATTATATTTGTTTCTGGGTCAGACGCAGTAAATTTTCCTCACCTTTTTCTCCTCCCTGATTGTTTTTTTTTTTTTTCCCTGTCCTCTTCCTCTTAGCTCAGAAACCGTCTCCTGGTTCATTCATTAGAGCTGCGTTGATGCAAGGAAGGAATATAATCCTTCACTTTGTTTGCAAACTGCTAAAATGTGCAGCTCTGCCGAACACGGCAGGAGCTGATGTTTGTTGCTTTCATGCTGATCGGTGGCGATAAGAGCGATGAATATTTCACAGTTGCCGAATGTGGGTCGCTCTTAGGAAGCGAGGCCTTGCAGGGAGTGCCATAAATATCTCTCCCTGGTTCTGATCCCTGTGTTCTGTAGATGTGTGTGTGTGTGTGTGTGTGTGTGTGTGTGTGTGCGCGTGTGGCTGTCAAATCCAAGGAAACCCTGAAGAGCCTGAGGCGTGTTGCCTCATCTGTAGAGAAATTACTCCATGCTTTTTTGTAGTAGAAATATAAAAAATAAAAATAAAAAAAAACAACATTGACTGTGTTGTAAAAAAGAAAAAAGAAAATGATCTGTTATTTTATGCGCATCACTTTCACACTGACTGAACTTTTCCACATAAAAACCAAAAAATTCTGTTTTGTGATTTCATAGACGGACAAAACGAGGAGCGTAATTATAAAAGGAAATTAAAATGGTTTCCAAGTTTGTTTTTTGTTTTTTCTTTACTCAATACAAATCCAAAAGGGTGACCTTTGTTTTCTGTCCCCTTTACTCTGGTACCCCTAAATAAATCACAAGGTGAGCGTATATCTTCATCCATCATCTCAGTTTCCACAAGCTGGATCTGAGATAAAAAAAAATCTGTTCAGATGAGAACAAACTGAGCCTTTCTCTCTCTTTTTTTTTTTTGACTGGACAAAATGAACATCATGAACGCACCATCCCTACCAAAGAACACGGCATTGGCAGCATCATGCTGTGTGGATTCTTTTCCTTGGCAGAATAAGGTCAGTTTGCTCTGAGCGATAAGTGCAGGTGAACTCTGAGACGGTGACAGCATTGAACAGCAGAAGCTGACGTGTTTATTTTAGCGTCAGCAGGATGCTGAGCCACATTCCTTCTGCTGGAATGATACCGGATCGCTTTCTTTCACAAAGTGTCACTTTAACGTGCCGCTCCGTCGTCACCCTGCTGATCCACACAACCTTTTGACTTTACAAGTAAAACTCTGAAAAGTGCCATGTGCTTGTGTATTTAACACTTTGGAGTCAGTACTTCGTAGAACAGAGCACACCTCTGTTAGCTTAGCACATCTTTACTGAAATATTTGAAAATTCTTCTTTGAAAAACAGCTGCAGCTCATTCAGATTGGATAGAGAAACCTCCGACTTTTAAGTTTTTCCACAGATTCTCAAACCGATTCAAGTCCAGACTTTGACTGGACCATTCTAACAGAGAGATATTATTTTATCTGAAACATTTCGTTGTTGCTCTGGCTGGATGTTTAGGAGTGTTGTTTTTCATATTTAACTCTACAAATTTGTAGATGGAAAAATAGAACATTTTGGTTGTAGTTTAATATTAAATAATAAACGGGTAGAAAGTGCATGTGAGCATCAGTTTAGTGTTGCCACCGACTCTCATTTAGATGTAGAGCTGGACTTTCACTGAACTGAGGAGAAGCGTCATGGAAATGACAAGATCCTTTGGTCCTCAGAGTTTTAAATACCGTATTTGAATAATTAATACCAACTTATAAAGAAAATACATAGAGGCCTGCAGATTGCCTCTTCAGTTTCCACTAAACCTTCATCTGTATTCATAGAATCCGGCCAACGCTGCTCCATAAATTGGTAGAGTCGCCTGAAAAAAAGCTTTACAGCATGATTGAAAGAAATGAAGAAATTATTCTTTAATATAGCAGATACAGAAGCAGATGAAGTGAAATGCATTCTAATGTTGTTATGTAATGGAGATAAAACTACATAGGAAGCCTGTTATGGATGGTTGGATTACTTACCATTAACTTAGTACTAAAGCTGTTGAAATTATGGGAAATTTAACCATAAGATTCTTTACTTTAATAATAATATAATTGTGTTATGACGTTGGTTAAAATTGCTTACCTGTTCAGTCCTCCTCAGCAGGATACATTTTAGTGCATTTGTGTTTCCACGTAGTTGTCCAAAATATATGCTTTTGTATGTTACTCTAATTTGTTTGGGTTTTCCTAAGTCATAATAATCAAATCTAACAGAAGTCGTCTATTAATAACTATAGATTAAGTTGTTGATGACGTTCTAATTCTCTGACATGTAAAGGTATTTATAGTTTAAAAACTAAATGAACTATCTTTGTGACATTATTTAAGCTGACATTTCATGATAAATATAAACTTGTTTCATACTGCAGGTGGTTTTCAGTGATCAGAGTCAAACATTTAGCAGTTCTTGTAACTTTTCACCATAAGACTGAAGGGAAATGTGCAAAGAGCCCCGTTTTTCTTTTTTTTTACAT